AAACCTTTAGAATATATAAATACATTTCGATTGAAATATCAAAATCTCTGATATTGGCCACTAGTGTCTTTTAGTTGCATTACCTTCTGAAGGCAACAGACACCCCATCGGGGAGCCACTTGATGTTATTATGCAGAAGGTTACAAGAACCTTCCCAGATCTGTCTGGCCTGGGGTCCTTTAGGACTCTAGGTAAAACTTTTGCAACAGAAGGTTGCCTGCTTCTGAGGGGTTGAGATGTGCTGAGAAACAGAGGAGAAGCCATTGGAGTCCTCAGATCCTCACCCTGCTTCCTATAGTACATGTAACGTGGTTAAAACCATTTCTACCAAATTGTGCTATTTGAAACATACTCTTCATTATTAGAGGTCTTTTTCAGGACATCAGAATTTCAGTGGTTTGGCTGTGAAGGCATAAACTTCATAAACACACACATGTTGTGGCTTATTTTTTTCTTTTGGCTTCATGCATTTGTAATTATTTTTTAATTTTTATGGAGAATATTTTATGTGACATAGTTAGTATTGCTCTTTTTCTGTTTCTGAAGTGCTGTTCTTTCAAAGACAGGGTTGCATGTTGTTCAGAGCCAAGACACTCGAGCTGGACTCTAGATATTAGTATCCTGCCTCCGTCCTTGCCTGGTCATACAACTTTGGCCAACTTACCTGTTATCTCAAACCCAGCTTTCTCAATTGTCAGGCAAGCAGCATGATAGGTTCTACCCCATTAGGGTAGTTGTGAGAATTAAATGAGAAGATCCACATAAAGCCAAAGTTATAGGGTCTGGCACCAGAAGGTACATATTTGCTTTTATTATTTTTCTCTAGGAGCTATGCTGGGGACACTTATTTCTGTTCTTATTACATTATCTTGGTTTTCTCAAAACCTTGTCAGAAGAAGGTAGGTTATAAATAATAATTATGATTTGTTAGTCTTTATTTCCAGAGAAAGAATTATTTATTGTTGATTTATAGTATCATGATGTATAATGAAACACAGGTGGACACTAAATTGCTTCCTGTAGTGAAATTTACTCTAGAAGAACATGAGGCAGTATATGAGGCCAATAATGATCTTTTCTGTACTGATAATATCAATTCTCTTTTCTCAGGTTTTCTGTAAGTATTCAATTTCCTTAATCTTTAAGAAGAGGGAGGCATTAGAAAACCTTAGTCACTGCAGATTTATTTATTATTATATGTTTAATATAATGAAGATATAAAATCTACATTGGGACAGGATTAAATGGCATGATCTAAACATTAGAAGTGCCATGAAACTGATATGGTGAATCTCACATCTGGTGGTGGGACAGCATTGGTTGAAATGTCTTTGGGGGAAATTTTGGAGATTTCCTTAACATTAAAGAAAAGGATAYTATGAAAAAGAGAAGGAACATTTGGGAGAGTTAAAGCTTTTCCGTTATTTTGACGATGTTATGTTTTATCCCTAAAATTGTATATTTGTTTAGTCTTATCAAGGAATACCAAATCATTGGGTAGAAACTGAAGATGGTCAATGACTAGGAAAGAAACACCCAAATCTCTTAAAAGTTAGGAAAGAAGCATGAACAATGCAATTCAGGTATATTTATCTTATAATAGGACACTTTTTAAGTTTAGGAAAAGTAGATTTGTTAATTTTTTAAAAACAACTTAATAAGCAGACTTAAGATAGAGCATTGAAAGTACATTTATGTGTAGCCACAAAACTTCATGTGACATAGTTGAGAGAATTTTAGAAGATGTGTCTGAATAAAATATCATTAACTTTRTTCAATTTTTATCTTGGCCTTGAAGACAGACATCCTGGTATTTCTCAAATATATGAATGATAGAAGGTGATTATAACCCAGAGATTCTAAAATTCCTTACTGTAGGCTTTCCCCCCCTCTCCAAAATCATTTGCTGATTGATTACCTGCTATATCAATAAAGGTGAAAGAAACTGAGTTTGTATAACAGCATCATGTCACCAAATAAATTTTTTAAAAAATTGACCACAGAGATATTCTTTATAAATAAGACTGTTTTTTAACAGTTTGCACATAACTACCTCCACTGCACTCATCTTCAGTCTATTTTTTATCTCCCTCTTAAGGCATGTTTAAGCTAAGGCATACATCATTAGATTAGTACATATTGATATTCTTTATGAAATAAGATATGATATAGTAGAATACTTTCATAATTAGGATTCTATCTAGACAAGTGAAATTAAAATTGTGATAGAGCAAAAAGGATCTCTTTCTGAAATAGAATACATTAGAAAACATTTTTACCATAATATTGATAAAGCTCACGTATATGGAATATGTATATATTTTACATTTAGTAGTATTAAATTTTATATTTAGTTGAAACTTAATGTCTAAAATGCCTGATAGATTTTTATATATTAATCTTCTTGGCATTCATCATTGTGGATTGACCTATCAGAAGGTAATGTGGTATTTGTTTCCAGTGTTTCAATGGAAATAAGTGTTTAAATGTATCATTCAGAAACACAACTCAAAAAAAAATGTATAGTTAGGACATACTGTTCATGATACAGAAGAGGGGGAAATGCTCACATTGCTTGTGTTTTATAATTAGTAAATACAAATGCCAGCTTTAAACTTTAGCAGTTTTGACTAAAAGTAAAATCAAATTCTTAAACTCTTTTTGAAGTTTGACCTTTGTTTAGTAGAATAATTTATTTATCAAGTCATTTTTTCATTGAAAAAAAAAAAAACTACCAAAGTYAAGTGTGCTGCTACATGCTTCATAACTTCGGAGGCTGAGATAGGATCACAAGTTCAAGGCCAACCTCAGCAACTTACTAAGGCCCTAAGCAACTTAGTGAGTCCCTGTCTCAAAACAAACAATACCTACTGGGCTGGAGTTGTGGCTCAGGGGTAGAGAGCTTGCCTCACATGTGTGAGGTACTGGGTTAGATTCTCAGCACCACATATAAATAAATGATCAAAACAGGATCTTTCAACAACAACAACAAAAAAAATAAAAATAAAAAAAACTTACCAAAGACTGCTTTGAAGCCTACTCAGTCAGTATCGATACTTCTTCCTTTCCATTTAGTCCAGGTCATGGGGAAATTTCCTGAACTTTTAAGACCAGACTTGACTAAATCATGTGGGTATCCCAGGTAAATAAATGACAATGCTTTTATCTCAGTATTCTGGAAATATGAGCTCAATGGTTGTGTAGAGCAGAGATATAATTTACCTATGACATTCAGATGAAGTGTGAGGGTTTTCACTTTACACATGAAATAGAATCTCTACTCAGTCACACACCAGCTCTGTGATCTTGGGCAAAGCTATTTATTATCTTAGTTTTTCCTTTCTTTAAAATGGTTATCATAATAGTATCTGCTTCCTAAGAATGAAGTAAATATAAAAGGAGTTAATTGATGTGAAGTCCTTAGCAGAGTGCGTGTCAAGTGGTGAATTCTCAGAAGTATTACCTAATAATATGACTTTAGACTGTTTGAAATATAATTCCTTTATCTTAAGATACATGTTTGCATATTTTCTTTTATATTAAATTTGAAATAATACTGAATTTTCTTCTACTATGAAGAGAGGATGAAGTCTTTTTTTTTTAATTATAGTAAATGACAGTTGGATAAGACTAATTCAACTCCACACCCTCAATTGTATCTGTCATTCCCAGTGTCCATTTCAAAATAATATTATATAGGAACTTTGACTTTAGTTGAGGCTCCTCATGGTAATTTGTATTCTCTCCATTTATGCCTTATCAGCTACCTGCTCTGTGGAAAAAAGCTTAGGTAATAGAAATGGAAATGGCCCCATAGAAGTGTGTATTGGTTGCCCTTTTTTATATGAGAGGTCAGAAATAGGCATAATATAAGAAGAAAGATGAGGTTAGCCAGGCAGTTGTATCTGTTAAATATATCTCTGTGAATTTAGATCACAAAAGAGAATAAGTTTTCCATAGCGGCCATAAATTAAAATCTATATGCTTCCTTAGAGATCCGTTTATGGTTATCATTTTTTTTCTCCTTCTGTGTATTTGGATGGCACAGACATTGTTTAAGCCAAGGATCTAGTGATGAATAACAGAGACTTGGTAGGTTCTGGAMCTTTAACTGATGTCCAGCACTCCATTTCCCTGCTTGCTCCCTAGGCAGAAGCTGCACTGCCCAAGGCTGTACCACCATGTGATAATTACACATTCCATGGGTATTGGCTTTGTGTTCTCTGCCTGAGGCAGCCAGCATTTTGATTCTGTCATAGGCACCAGGATATTGAAATTCAGTTAGAATTTGAAGCTTATGGTAGCTGGTAGATTAATTTTCCTTGGGTTGATAATCATTTTATTTTTTGAACATAAATAAATAGTGTCATACATGATCTTGAATCTAAATGGTGTCTACAAGTGTTCATTGCCTAGAATTAGTGGCTGATCAACAACATTGTTTGTATTTGCATTAAATCTGGGTGGAACTGTATTTTCAAATGCATGTTCAATGAAGTTTGAGATCCTTTTGTTTAAAGATCAAAGAAAATTCAAGTTTCAGTTTTGGGGAGTTCTGTTTGTGTTTTGAGTTATATAGACTTAGAAGACCATAAAATATAAAGCTACTTGCCCTTAATTTTAGTGAAGTAATATGATGTAAAACATGAAGATGATCTTGATAGGTACAAACACATRAACTATCAGGCTATATTTTTTGGTTTTGTGCATTTATTTCTACTTTTTGGAATACTAACAATGGTATCATTGATAGGGAAACCTATCTTACAGCTTTAAAAGTTGTTTTGCCTGTTTATGTTTTCTTTTGCAATTACTACTTTGCCATTTTATAAGAAGTGAAGGAAATATTTAGTCTTCAGTACTTTCCGAATTTATATAGGTAATTTTGACATTACATGAATAACTTAACAAATGTTGAGCTTAACTCTTAGAATGCATAGCAATTGGAAAAGGAATAAATATTAAATAATTTTCAAAGCATTCCTTTTTTTCCCTTATAGTGAGAGATTTTTCTTGAGACTGAATAGAAATGGGCTTCCCAAAGCCCCAGATAAACCAGAACGACATTGCTCTCTCTTTGTGGTAAGTGAATCTTCTTCTGTTGATGAGATATCTTCTTCCAGCTGTGCTTCATATTATTTAGGAGAAATAAAAGATTGTGAAAGAACATAGTGAATTGATTTAAACTTTGTAAGTAACACATACCTTGCATTAATGGCCAAAATTGTGAATACTGTCATTCACAATTACTGTACTTCCCTTAGGGTATTATTGACTCCTTTAATTTTTCTGTTGGTGTGTTTTGGTGCTCTGATATGATTGCCAAAGTTCAGTAGCAATAGGGCTGAGCATGGCACCTGGTGTTTAATATGTGCTTCATAAATGTGAGAGAGAGCCTGAATGAACAATGGTATTTCCTTTTAAACATCTCTTAACAGCAGTTGACTCAAAGTTGATTGTAGTGATATTTTTAGAACAGAATTTGAATCATGTCAGAATTTGAATCATGTGCTTCTGCTCTAAACATTCCATTAAGAATATTTATGTTGATCTTTGTCTTTCTGCTCCTGTGAAAATACTGTACTATAATCTTTAAGTGCTGGTGCAGATTATGAATTCTAAAATAACCCAACTTTATTTTTTGGTAGGATTTGGGTAGCAGCGAGCTAAGAAARGACATCTATATCACCGTGCACATCATCCGAATTGGTAGGTACTGCACTTGTCACTGTTTTACAGGCAAATAGCTGAGAGGTCTCCATGTGCTTGTGTGTTTGTGAGTTTGTGTGTTTGTTTTGCTCTCCGGAATGAAATGTGAAATCCAGAAGCACAGAAATCAGGATTTGTTCTCTGGCCTCCCCAACCTCATATTACAACCTTCTCACCTACCATGAATAGATATTAATCTTTTTCTATGTAAGTTGTTAAGGAATTTGTTGTATTTCCTCTTGTTTTCTTGAATCTCCTAAACACATCTGATTCAAATATTCTGTATTTTCCCTTTAAAATTTTAATTTCTTGTAGCATGAAATAAACTTTTAGGACCTGAGTTTCCTACAAGTTGAGGAAAGCTTCATACCAGCTATCACTTTCCTAAATGCAGAATGTTTTAAAGCATTATTACAGAAGATTCTACAAAAAGAGGTTTAAGAGATGCTGAATACTATATTATTTGAACTGCTATAATGTCATAGCTCATTAATGGGTCTGAGAAGTCCTACAGGGAGAAATTAATATGGTTCTCTAACTTTGTTGACCCAGCTTCCCCCAAATCTGATTTGACTGTGAAAGCATGGATATAATGTAGCATTTATTAATATCTTGCAGAACACACRTTGGTATTCTATTTTCCCACATATTTTCACCTTTTGGGTCAGAGCAGCTGGGTGAAATAAGGAATGGTGCAGCTTCTGCAGTGTTTCTAATAAGGCTGACCAGCCGATGCTGGAAATGTATTCCCGATTCTTAACTAACTGTGCTCCGTTACTTGCAGGGAAATACTACTGCAGTGCAGTAATAGCTTGCCATACAGACATGCTAAATGACCTTTAATTTTATAGTCTTTTAGTTTACGCATGCAACAACCACATTGTGCATTGAGAGAGACTATAAAAAAACCTTTCATTCCAACATAGATTTCTCTATATGTCTTGTAAAAATGTGTTCAGAATATTTGTTTTCATTTTAAATTATTTTTTGTATTTGAAAGATAGTAGAAATGATTTAAAAAACTAAACTATGTTGCATTTTAATTTTTCCTTTAATAAATGAGTATGTGAGAAAAAATTGTAAAGTACCTTCTAAAATTTTGGAAAAGTTGCAATCTATGTTGCTATGTACTTTTGAGATTAAAACCTCTGTCTGTTGGAGAATGATATGATACAGTTTCTTGTATAATTTATATATATATATATATATATATATATATATTTTTTTTTTTTTTTTTCAAATTTGTAATGCCAGTTGTTAAATGTAGTTTGGGATATCTTTATGTAAAACTGCTAAAACTTGAATATAATCTGAAGCACTGAGAGTAAAAGTAAACCACTTTTGCTTTTGGAACTTTCTAGACAATATCTACACGATTTGGGTGAAAAAATAAAAACATGCTGCTGAGTGTGTGCCCTTCAAGCCCATGGTCCCCCTCTTACAGCTTCATTGCTGAGGCAACCACCTCAAAAGTGTTGCCTGTCATAGGGCTGCCTTTTAAATACCTGGTGTTTGATTAGTGCTTGCATTTTTTACTAAGATTTTATGGTCATTACACCATTCAAAATGAATGTTGATCCAGAAATTACCTACCTGCCTGCCTCTAGGTTTGCTAAAGATAAATCTCTGGAATTGTTGAAAGAAACTTGCAAGAAATTTTTACTGCTTGAAACTGAGGAGGAATGAAGTTAGGGTAAAATGCTCTAAGAAAGGTTATGACTTTGTCTGCCATCCTCCTTCGATTTAGTAAAATTGAGGAGTGGAAGATTGTTATCTTTCAGGGACAGATACTTCTTTTTATAGAATGTCCYTTGTACCTGCTTTATTGGGAAAAGGACATGCTGTCCCTCATTGGAAAGTTGGAACAATAACACCTCAATGCTGGAAAATTATGCCCAGCCTTTGATTTGGAAAGAAGAGGAAGGAAAAAAGAGCAATTAATAGTTTTATATCCCCCTGCCCATCCTAAGTGAAGTTCTTTGAACCTCTCTGTTTCCCCTTTTGGCTTTTGGCTGGACTCTTAATATTTTATCTTCCCCAATTCCTCCTATCTTCCTTCTTGTGAATTCTTATTATTCCTGGAGTTGGGAACCCCAGGGCTGACACTGTATCATCTCATTKGTGTAATAGTTAGACCAAAGCCTCAGTGTGCAAAGCTGTAGTGCCACAGTGTCCTGAAAGGACACAGAATACTACATGTCAAGGACTTGAGAAGAAGCAGCTTTGGAGGGAGCAAAACTTCACTGTGGCAGAGCTTGCAAGCCTCCCTAGAGCACCTTCTCAAGTAGTTCTGAGAACAGACCTTCTCCCACCCCCCTTATTTCTCAATCCTCCTCCATAGTTTTTTCTTTAGCACAGTACTAGAGGAAGGGGATGTTTTAAAAAGGACTGGTAGGTGTGCTATGCCCTTGTATAAATTGTAGGAAGCCAGAGCTAGAAGATTCCTTAGGAATATTCATGTTCAGTTTCTATTTTTTTATTAATGAGTTTCTTTTCTAATATTAAATAACTTTGAAGCACTTCTCTCAGAAATCTCCTAATTACTTTGTCATCTTGCATGTAYGAAGGAATGAGTAAGTGAAATAAAATTTGTATTTTAAATCATGATATTGATCAAGATTGCACTATTTCAAAGCACAAATGCTTTAGAATTAAATCAACCAATTTAAATATGACATTACAAGATGTTTGACTTGTAGGCAGAAATTATATTAAAATTGTGTATATTTAAATTTAGCTTCAGACTATAGCTTAAGGTCATGAAAACATGACATTTAAAAGTCTTACATTTTGCATATCTAAAAAGTGATTGATTTCTGTTGTCCATTTTTTAAGTTTTGATTCTAACCATAAAATAAGAGGTTTTCAGGATTTTATTTGTAAGCATTTCCCTGAAAGTGACATATTGCACATATAGTTTTCCATTTTTCTTTAGTAGTGATGAGTAAAAACCCAATTGGATACTACCATCCTTTTGGGTTTTATATATATATAAAACAAACATTGGATTTTGGAAATGCTAGAGACATCTTGATATGCTATAGAATTTTGCTCAGATAGAAACTACTTATGGATCTGCTGACCAGCATCTAGAGACAAATTTGCATTTTTTCTTTTTTTTTTGCCCCATAATAACTTCTTATATTTCAGCTTCAATATACCTTATGCTTTGGGTCTTTAAAATAATCATGGGAATTAAATATGAATAATAAATTAAAATAATGATAACATATTTTCAAATAAATGACAATTTTCAGGCATGTAATGGTCAACACAGTCCCAGGGTATGTCAGTAATGGACCAAGTTATCTACAGCCTGCATAGTGAGGCAGAAGCATGCTCATTTGGTCACCTGTGCTTACTTGTTATATTCAAAGTCTCTCCAACTGCTTTTTTTCAGATGTGAATTTTTTGAAATGGTTTTGTGAATAAGGAATTTTTTAGAAAATGGAAAATGTCATAGGCACCATGATTGCCTTTAATAAAGTGGGCCTTCTGGGATCTCTTCATGAATCATAAGAGAAGGAAAGTGGTTCCCAGACATGGGATCAGCTCTAATTTTCATAGTTTTATGGATGGCAGCTGAAGCTCAGAGTTCATGCTGCTTGCCCAAGGTCACAGAGGAAGGTGACTGGAGCAGGCGATCCTGAAGCAAAGTGAAATCTTCTTTTGCTCCCATCCTGTGCCCTTTCCATCACCCAATTATGTTTTGTATGACCTGCTTGGTGGTTCTGTGTGTCTCTGATTTGGATGCATCTAATCAAATATTTCCATGAGTCATGTTTGCTCTTTAATTGGATAGGTCGAATGGGAGCAGGAGAAAAAAAGAATGCCTGCAGCGTCCAGTACCGGCGACCCTTTGGTTGTGCGGTTCTTAGCATCGCAGATCTGCTAACAGGAGAGACAAAGGATGACCTTGTCCTGAAAGTGTACATGTAAGAAGCCTGAACACGGTGGAGCCTGGGTGGGCACAGGGGTGCATCTGGATCTTACCTGGATAATACTTTATGTGTGGAAGTGCAGAACACCACATGGGTTAAGCTTGAGTCATTTTTCAAACTCCCAGCAATCTGTTGACTTGCTGCAAATTAGCCCACAAGTCACTCTTAGTCAGAAGAAATATGAAATCAAAAACCAATGAATACAGATGGTTTATTGATTGGGTAGGCCATGTACTGTGTAGCATACTTCCACTGAATTTGCATACCTGGTATATCTTTCATAATTCATTAATTCATTCTTGGATAGTGGAAATACTGCACATTGTAATAAAAATGAATGAGAACTAAGACAGGGAAGCTCAGGTGATTACCCTCCTACTCCATATATTAAACTGGCCTGCGGTAGTAAAGTACTACGAAAGTGTGTCTTAAACAACAAAAATTTATTGTCTCCTAGTCCTGGAGGCTAGTAGTCTGAGATAACATGTTGGCAGAGTTGGTTCCTTCTGGGGGCCGTGAGGGAAAATCATTTCCATGCCTCTTTCCTAGCTTCTGGTTGGTTGTTAGTGACCTTTGATGTTCCATGGCTTGTAGTTATTGTCATCCTGAGCTCTCCCTTCATCTTTACACAGCATTCTCCCTATGTGCGTGGCTGTCTCTGTGTCTAATTTTTTTCCTTTTATAAAGACAATTGTACTGGATTGAGGCTCACACCAGTGACCTCATTATCACCTGATAACTTCTGTAAAGATCCTCTTTCCAAATAAGGTCACATTCTGAGGCACTTGAAGTTAGGATATCAACATTATCTTTTTGGAGGGGGACACAGTATAACCCATAATGCTCTTCTAAGAAAATCACTTGACATAATCTGAATTCTAAGATAAATGATTTCTTAAATGCACATGGTTTGAGTCAGCCTACCCTGTTTACCTCCCCACACATCTAAGAATTGAGAGCTGAAGTAGAAAAACATGGTCGGAGCCAGCCCCCTGGGGTATCTGCATTCCTGTTTTGAGGGCCAAATCCTGGCTACCTCCACAAGTAACCTTGCTTTTGTCTTTTATTCCAGAGTTTGTGTTGCTAGATCTAACATATGCCAACAGTTTTTTCATATATGGTAGTCATAACCAGCCTACCCACTATGAGACACATACTTCAATTGCTTATTTTTTACCCACTACAGCAGTGTTTCATGGATTTATCTACTCTCCACCAAGTGGTGACCTCTGTAGCAAGTTAAGTAATTGACAAAGATTTATCTACATCCTGTGGTTTGGGACTGGAAATTCTCTTTATCCCTTCTTAAGAGGGATAAAACCTGTGACCTTGATTTTAAACTTGAAAACTTTTTAAACTAGTGGGTAGCATAACTTGTTACTCTCTTTGTCACAAGTCAACCCTCATTTTTAATGGCTCGACTTAAATCTCTAGTGGTATATATACACAATAGAGTATTGTTCAGCCATTAAGAAGTATGACTTTATGGCATTTGCTAGTAAATGGATGGAATTGGAGATTCTCATACTTAAGTGAAATAAACCAGTCCCCAAAAGTCAAAGGTTCAATGTTTTCTCTGATATGTGGAAGCTAATCCAAAATAAGAAAAAAAAAAAGATTAGAAGAAAAATCAATGGAGTAGACAAAGGGGATTGAAGGGAGAGGGAGAAGGGATGGGATAGGGAAAGACAGTGAAATGAATCTGACCTATGTCTCCTATGTGCATACATGAATATACCACAGTGAATCTCATTGTCATATACATCCAGAAGATGGTTTTAAAAAAGGATTAGTAGAGTAGAGGTCAGGGAATGGGGATGGGGATAGGAGGAAGAAAGGGAAAGGCGAAGTACTAGGGAATGAATTAGAACAAATTATATTCCATGCTTTTATAATTATGTCCAAATAAATTCTGTTGTCATGTATAACTAAAAATAACAAATAAAGATGAAGAAATTCATAAGTAATACTTACAGATTCTGCTGTGAATCTTAAGACATCATTTATTTGAAATAAAAATGATCAATAAAGGCCAACCTTTACTGTGTGCTTACTATATACCAGGGACTCTGGTTAGCATGTTAAGCCTATTGTGTCCTTTTATCCTCAAAACAAACCGTGAAGCAGATGCTGTAATCTCAGTTTTACTCATAAGGGGACAGTTAAATGACTTGCTCAATATCATGCCTCTAATAAGAATGAGAACCAGATTTTTTTTATTGGTTGTTCACAACATTACAAAGCTCTTTACATATCATATTTCATACATTATATTGAAGTGGGTTATGAACTCCCAATTTTTACCCCAAATGCAGATTGCAGAATCACATCGGAGAACCAGATTTGAAATCAAGATTGTCCAATTCCAGGACTAGAGCTCTCAGGGTATTAGGTTGTGTTCTTCCAAATGTTACTTCATACTACTATATAGTAATATGATGATGGTGGTATGTGCTGTTGCTTTTTATGAAAATTGAAATTCTTTGCAAACACAGTCTCTTCTTAGAATAGTCTTTCCAGGTGTGGGTTGCAAGGGCCATGTTTATCATGCCACAGGGAACACTGAGGGGCTGACAGTTACATGCATCACCCTTGATTATGCAGCCAGATGAAGGAGACCCATGAATCCCGGCTCTGCCTATGGCAGACATTCACTCTCATGAAAATAAATTGTGCTGGTCTTCGTGGTATTTTATTTTCTGATTTTTTTTTCCTTAAGCATCAAATAAGGCTTTGGGTAATTCTTCCTAGAAGAGAAATCCCTTAAAAATGACAATTCAGCAAATCATGAGGCCATTTCAAGAGAATACTAACCAGTCAAAACAGTCACTGCACAATAGAGAAGAACCGGGAATTTAGTAAAACACTCCAGGAAGTGCTTGTTAGAAACAATTTGTAAGAAATTTCTAAATGTGAAGGTGACCAAGCCCCATGTCTATCTGGCACTCTTAAGAACGGTAACAGATACCTTGTCTGAGACTAGAAGGGGCCCTTTGATTTTATATGGAGTTTTTTTTTTGGTGTTATTGTTAAAGAGCATATGCTCTAGAGTCACTTAACTATCTAATAGGATAGTAACCCTTCTTTCTTCCTTTTCCACTGGGTTGAAATAAGGAAAGTGGAAGCCAATGTACTAAGTGGCAATTGATGTTTCACAATTGGATAGGTGGGATGGCTTCTTCTATCTTCCACTGTATACATTGTTCTCCAGCATTTTTTTTCTTTGGGGGCCACTTTTAATCTGTGAGTTCATCCCAGCTGTTGCTTTGATGAGGTAGGTGGCCATGCCTCACCAGGCGTGGGCATTACTTCTCATCTTAGCATAGCCGTGCTAAAACCATCAGTTGTTTACAGCAAATTTTGAGGAATTCTAAGGAGATTTAGGGAAGTACCTTGAGCAGGTGTGCATTCAAGAGCAGGTGTGCATTCAAGATCATTGCTTAATCCATGTTTCAGTAAAGTTTAACCAAGTGATTATTTTCATAGGTGTAATACAGAGAGTGAGTGGTACCAAATCCATGAGAACATCATCAAGAAGCTGAATGCACGCTATAATTTGACTGGCTCCAATGCAGGTGAGTACATGGAACTGGCTAACTTGGTCCTACACTTTTTATTTAGGCCTTTTGTTTAGGTCAAAAGGAAACGGTCAACCCCTTGGTTTTTTTCTCTTTGTCTTCCTAATTTTAAAAATGCTCAGTAAGCACTGTAGTACATCTCCCTGCACTGTGTGTGATAGTCCTATAAGTATAAATTTTCAGAAAAAAAAATGTATTTCATTCTGGCTCAAAACAAAGTTACGGATCTGAATGTGTTCAATGCTGCCAAGTCTTGAGACCTATAAATTTTTACTTACTACTAAAACCTAAATGATAGTATGTCTGGGTTCATGACTGTAGGTTTGATAAACAGAAGTCTGACAGGAAGTTCCAATTACAGGATGCCTCATTGCTGTAATCTGCTGTAAGCAGCATTATTGTACTGGGTAACCACCATACAGGTTCACATATTGAAGTGGGCTGAGGAAGTGATGATGACTGTGATGTCACATAGATAAAATGTACGTATGCTTATTCAGACAGCAACTCATGTTCTATATGCCACTCTAAGTTATATGTAATATATGGCATGCAGACTTGTATTACAGTAGTTATACATCATAGACTATGTGACATTATATGGTGTAAGTAGATTGTATAGCATATATAGTGACTCCTTTACATGTGATTATTAGTGAATATTGTTTGTGCCTATTCACCCTTCAGTCAGACATTGAAGCAAAATAATATGCATTTGTGTGTTTCAGATGATATAAAGAAACCTCAAATTAAACAAGCCATTATTTAAATGGAATGCATTGTTTTTAGAAGTAATTTTTAAAGCTCTTGAATATAAATAGATATTTGTGTGATAGTCCAACTTTACTAGTAATTAGGAGAACCAGTTTAAATTCAGACCAGCTTTTCTTTTCAGACTCATGCACATCTCTCTAGGCCAATGTATCCCACAAAGAGAAAGTAACTGCAGCCAGAAGCCTTTGTGGTTCAATTTCTTGAGAACCATAAGGATCCACAGCTCACACATGTGGCAGCATTTCAGGCTGAAAGGAATGGTGAGGTCAGATGAAGAGTTGGCCTCCTTCTCCCAAGAGTTGGGGAGGTAATGGGTTATATTTGATATAGATGGTCATTTGCTTTGGCCAAGCCCAATATCTACCACTAAAAAAACAAGAGGCTTAGAGCTTCTGGATACTGAGGGCAAGCCTCTAAAAGACTAAGAGGAGACAGTAGAAGTGTCTTCCATGAGTAATAAGTTTATTTTAGAATCTGCTCCCCACACTTGTCTTCTCTTCTCCCCAATAAAGAATTATGGGAGTGCTGTGTGTGGACCAAATGGTTTCACTTCAGTGCATCCTCCATAAGGTAGGAAATGTGCTACTATTTTAAACCTTACCTTACCAAATCTGTGGACTTCCACCAAATCCAATCATTCTGCTCTGAACCTTTCAGTGTTTCTTGATACCTCTGACCACTATTTTATCATTAAATATTGAACAAACCTGTGCTTCCAGTTCAGTGGGCACTAGCCACCACTCACATGTGGCTACCAGGCAGTATTAATACTAGCTGAATGCAGTGCCAGGAGGAGTATTAGAAGCTAGATGTCAGACTTTGAAGACTTCATATTATTAATAGAATGTACAGTATCCTGTTAGTATTGTTTTTATATTGATAACTTGTTAAAATGTTATATATATTGGGCTAAATGAAACATACTATTAAAATTATGTTTCTTTTTACATTTTTTAATGTGGTAAGTACAAAGTTTTAAATTTCACCCATAACTCATGATATTTTTATGGGACAGTATTGTCCCAGGCCTGGTTTACATGATAACGTTTTCCTCTAATTTATCTCATGCCTCACAAATAAGTTCATTATTTCTTGCTCCTTTCTTTCTGTCTACTGACTGTAGATGGGGGACTGTAGCTTTTGGGGAGCTAATTCTCTCCCCCCCCCATAAGTCCTATTACTCTCTATTTGCTTGCACTTGCCTTCTATGTGAATAAATAATTACAAAACTAACTGTCACCTTCTGAATTTTCCCCTGTGTTTCCTGACTTTCCTGTTCCCTGCCATCATAGATGTCCTCTTTTTGTGAGGAAGTGGGGTACTTGTGACTGAACTCAGGGGCACTCTACCACTGAGCCACATCCCCAGTCCTATTTTGTATTTTATTCAGAGACAGGGTCTTACTGAGTTGCTTRGCGCTTTGCTTTTGCTGAGGCTGGCTTCGAACTCACAATCCTCCTGCCTCAGCTTCCTGAGCCACTAGGATTACAGGGGTGTACCACTGTGTCCAGAAAAGATGTCCTCTTCACTAACCAGGACAACTGCAGTACATTTCTTTCTTAACTTCTTCTTGGTCCCCCAAGCGTTACCCTTTTTGAATATGCCCCACACAGAACAAGACTCATCTGTTGTTGGGTTGTCTGAATAGGTCATTGTCCAAACTCTGAGGTGATTCCCAGTTGCCTCCTGGATCATAGTGAAGATCTTGATGATGAGCTTTAATTGAATCCCAGACAGATTCCTAAGGCCACTGATACTGTATCCTGTAAGGCTTCTCTTAGGGGTCAGGGTTCCAATTAAACCAAACTACAGATTCTCTCTGCTTAAAGACAGGAATCATCTCTTTGAGAGTATAGTGTGGTTTTTTTTTTTAATATTTTGCCAATGCAAGCAAGATATCGAAGGTATGAATCAGTTTCACTGGAATAATAAGAATATCATCTTCTAGAGATTATAGAAGGATTAAAAAAGAAAAATGTATGCAAAGTACTTACCATAGAACTTTATACATAGCAAGTGTATGTATTCACTTCTAGCTGTCATTATTTATCTCACTTTGAGCTATCATCTGGAATATTTTACCCTTTCCTCTTAAGTTACCTTGTTTCATTGTTTTTTAAAAAATGGATAGGAAATAGTAGAAGATGCAGGAATATAAGAAATTGAAGCAATTTCATCTCCTTAAGGAAAGCTTTTAGAATATTAGTTGGATTTTTGATAAGTTTGATTATTAAACCAACTCCTCCTACACTTTGTTTCTTCCATCTCCTCTCTACAGATTTGATTGCTAATATCTCCTTCTGGGATCCTTTCATTGTTTATTGTCCGATTACATAAATTACTCCAGGAGGGATGAGCAGCATATTCTACTTCCTTGGGGCCATTTCTCCTTGGAAAGTACTCCCCATGTTCCATGTGCTTTGTCAGCAATATTGACTTTACCAGGAACTGAGACTCCAACCACTTTATTCCCTGATTCTTCATTTTTCTGTTAAACATTATACTATAATGAAAACTGTGTTGCTGTCTTTGGGAAAAGTAGTAAAAAAAAATCATCATCGTAGCATATAATGGCCTCATAGAATACTTTCCCCTCCTTTTGGTGTGGTGATGATGATTTTTTTGCTGTCTGCCATGATAATTAGAGTCCTTGGCAATCAAATATGTGTTCATTTTACCTTGCTTCTGCTACAGAGCCCTCCTCTCCTGTTCTTATGACCTCAGCCCTTCTCCATCCTTCTCCAGTCAAGCCTGAGTCCCAGCCAGCCCTACACAAACTCCTCTGGTCTCTACCTGATCCCTTCTCACTCTTTGAAGCCCTAAGCTTAGGCACACCTCGCCCTAAACCTTCTCATTCTATAATACTGCTCCAGAGAAAGAAAGCTCAAAATGAACCTTTAAAAAAGGCTTGTATTCTTCCTACCAGAATTCCTGTTCTTCATTCTTGGTGGGTCATCGTTCTTGTCACCTTTATCTGTTTCCTCCTTGGGGAAAGGGAGTTACAAGCCCAGGTGGGTGTTCTGGATCCATATTGCTTCATTATCGAAAGGGAGGCACTCTAATGACTTCCTTTAAAATAGGAGAGGAAGCAAGAGTACAAGAAATTGAAGTGGGAACTTGGGGCGCCTAATGTTTGGTTATCACAGTGGCTGGATATTGTTGACTTCCCACTTTTTTCTTCTTGGAACAAAGAATTGATTAAATGGAAGCAGTACAAACATTTTCAAGAGAATTGAGTTCACTCAAAAAGTGCTGGTTTTTTTCCTGCTTTTCCTCTGCTATTCTTTGRTTTGGTACTAAAAAAAGAAGAAAAGAAGAACTTTGAAATTACTTTGAAACAAATTCTGCCAGCTAATTTCCAGGCCCTTTATGCTTCATTGGTATCCTCCATATCTCTTATTAGAGTTGTAATCTTGTCTGTTTAATAGATGAAAGGATTCATCGATTAAACTGGGGTTTTTCCCTCTAACCTAAGACTTATGTTGTAAAGGTACATTAACCACTCTTTTTGTTGAGTTTAGATATAGGGATGAAATTGCAAGTGATCCAGGGAATTTTTAAAGGTAAAAAATAATTAATATATCTCTTCAGTTTGATTCAGTTAGGCTGAGTTATTTGAAATTTCACAGGTCTGCTATGTGGGAATTTGAAAATCCAACAGCAATATTTTGAGAATTTGAAATTCTAGAAGTATTTGTTAAAATGAGCCTGGTTTAGGTTTATAGAACAAATGTTTATTACAGTGTCACCTCTGATAGTGATTAAATTCTAGGAATGTGACTAAGCCAATATAATTAACTGGGGCAAATTCAGTTCTTAGACTTGAGACAAAGTATATAAAACTCATTAGCAGTTGTTCATATCCCAAGAGAAACTTTAAAATATTTTTATCATGTCTTCATGAATTATTGTTTTAGAGTTTATACATGCAGTTTCATTTTTATTTATTTTTTTAAATACACGACAGCAGAATGTATTACAATTCTTATTATACATATAGAGCACAATTTTTCATATCTTTGTATAAAGTATGTTCATGCCAATTCATGTCTTTATACGTGTACTTTTTGCATTACAATTCTTATTACACACATATACCACAATTTCTCATATCTCTGTTTATAAAGTAGGTTGACACCCAATTCTTGTCTTCATACATGCACTTTGGATAATAATAACCATCACATTTCACAATCTTTGCTAATCCCCTGCCTCCTCCCTTT